CAGCTTCAGACATTACTAAATGTTTGTCTTTGGGAATGTCATTTCACCTCACCAAAGCTTATTTTGTTCATCTCCAGTATGATGATAATGAAATTTGACTTGAAATGTGATTGCAGATTTAAAGGTAAGGGCACAAAACACTAAATATGCAGTCAGCAGTGCATAAACTGTTGCAATTACTATTCACTGGTATCCTCAAACAGAATAGGAATTCTCTTTGGCCCCCACAGAAGTTTTCATAAATGAATTGGTTCATCCCATTCTTGATATCCAAGAGAATGACTCCTTCAGAGCAAATGGAAAAAAAAAATTTCTCCTTTTCTGCGTATTTCCATGGAGTCAGTGATTTGCATAGGAGCAGAGATCCTGTTCCGGGTACCATTCACGGTGAGAGCAGAGGATGTAGAGATGGAACCCTTCTTACCTCTGTGACGTTACAGAAGGCTTAATCAAAAAACCTCCCATCCTCTGCTTTCCTGTAGAGATTTGCTGAACGATTACCCAGATACTTTGTGTTCTTTTGATAATATACTGTCAGCAGGGTTGAATTCTTCAATTTATTATCTGTTTTGACCTTCTATTACTACACATATATTAATGAGAAAGTGTCTTAGTCCGTTCAGGCCGCTGTAACAGAATACCATAGATAGGGTGGCTCATAAACAACAGAAATGCATTTCTCGCAGTTCTGGAGACTGGGAAGTCCAAGATCAAGGCTCTGGCAGATTTATGTGTGATGACAGCCCACTTTCTGGTTCAATGTTTTCAATGAACCAGTCTTTTCATTGTGTCCTCACACAGAACATGGTAGAGTGGCGCCTCTTCTATAATGGCACTAATCCCATTCAGGAGGGCTCTATCCTAATATTTCCCAAAGGCCCTACCTCCTAATATTGTCACTTCAGAGCTTAGGATTTCAACATAGGAGTTTTGAGGGGACACAAACATTCAGTCTATAGTAGGAAGAAAGCAAGATAGTTGTTAGCTTTTTTTCCCTACCTCTCAAAGAATGATTCAGAAAACTATATTTCTATTTGGTCAAACAATCAGAAAGTAGAAAAATGTATATGCATTTTTAAAGGAGATTTTCTTATCCTCTAATTTTTCTTACTAAAAATGTGATGTTAAAAAGAAAAGCACATTCCACATTGATGAATGAAAATAGCCTTTGAATGATGGATTAGGAAATGTATTGCATTCATTCTATAAAAATGTCTCATGGTAGAAAATACATTTGCTCAATACCAAGGTTTTCAATTATTATCAAATAAAACATCGGAGTCATGTCTTTCACTACTAAAGTCAAGAAAGGCAAGAGAGTCCTGTTTATTGTGATTCATAGAGAGTTTAGCAGATTCATCATGGCTGGCTCTATTCAAATTTATCACTGAGCATTCAAAAACAATTTTTAAAGCAAATTTTCTATTTCTTCCAATGTAAATCTGTACAAACAAACCATTATGATTTTTATGGGTTCAAACATTCATTATAAATACCTATTCTGCACGTGTTTTAATTTTACTATTCCTTACAGAGTTAACCTTTATTTTGCTTACTAAGAGCATGTCAGGTTAGAACAGTGACAGGCACATAGTAGGCGCTCCAAACTATTGCTTGAGTTACATTTATCTTTATGCTAGAAATGTGTATTTTGACCTTCCGTATTTGAAAACCTGTGTTTTATCTCCACAGATTTTATCAATTAGTTCAGTTCTGATTATTTACTTGTCTGTTTTACTAGGTTCCCACCAAAAGGGCAGTGCACAAAGTTAGATGTAACCAAGAGAGAGACAGAGGAATGGGTTCGTGTATTATTTCTCAAGTAGTATGCACCAGTGTAAAATACCATGAAACTTTATTTGTTTTCTATTAATTTAACAAATCAAATTTTATATTAGGTGAATCATTTACTGGACTTTACAAAATTCATCTTTACCAAATTACACAATTGTAGGATGTATATACCACTCATTTCTTCCTCATATACCCTGCCAATTACTTTTCTACTTTGCTGAACTTTCCTTTTCTTTGTTTCCTTGTTATTTCTTTTACTTACACATTAGGTCATGTTTCATTTAGTTTAAAAAACCTCCCTCTCCTCTAACAATTTAAGGATCTTGAATAGATCAATATACTCCATTAAAACTTACCAATAGTTGACTTATTTGCCATTAGTAATTCAGAAGTGTGTTGTTATGACAATGCAGAGGCATGAAAAAAATATTTAAAAGGCAATTTTTTATCATGATGAGAGCTCTTCAAATGCATATTCACATGGCCATTTTACCCTTTGCTCCACTGCTTGGAGATTTGAGGTATTAAAAAAATAGCAAAAAGCAGCAGAAATAAATTTACATTGTTTGTAGGAAAGAGGCACTGTCCTTGGAAGTTATTCATTTTTATCAAAAGGATAGGGCAGGGTAAATTGTTCCTTGTAGCATATGACAACAGAGGTACAAATGAAACGTCAGGATGTGACTAACATGGTAAAGAAGGCAGACGGTCTAGTGAAACCACCGTTGCTCAATGACCAGATATGTGCTTCTTAAGTTTTACAGGTCTTTTAAAATTTTTTAATTTTATTTTTAAGTTTTACAAGTCTTAGGTCAACCAATCATTATATCAAAGAATCCAGGTCCCATCATGAAAGAAAAAAGCTTTTGCTGTTTTTTTTTTAAGATTAGCATACTTGTTTATTTATGTGATTTTTGTTAATTGCCTCAATAATGGCTATGCTAATTCTGCCATACCTAGTTTACTTTGGTTTACTATCACCCGTTCATGTTCCACAATTGGAGAATCACTGTCAAGAGACATTCTGGGTCCTAAGGACTTAATATCCCAAATTCCACTTTGATGATGCCAACTGATCAAACAGGAAGCGAAGCCCCAAGAAAGTAGACTTAAATGGGATTACAAGAAGCATTAATTCAATGTGGGGAAATGGAGGCCATCACAGATGGACGCAGTGTACCAAAAACAAAGTGTGAAAGATTAAAAGAATAATTCAGATTTTCCTAACTAGAGACAATTGTGTCCTAATAGGCAGTCCAAATATCAAGAGACAGATAGAGGAAGTAGACACATTAATAGTAATAACATAGCAGTAACTGTAGCAGCAGTAATTGTGAAAGCAAGAAGCCCTTGGCACTAGGAATCTGGTTTTTATAAAGGCACAGAGCATCTGAGTACAGTTTATAGTCAGATCTTTCTGGAAACCCTACGGGAAGAAGATATCCGACAGGATGGTGGCAGGTGGGACCTGAGGAGACCAGGACAATGACTATCTCTCCCATTTACAGTGACAAATTTTACAAACCTTCAGGATGTATCTGTCACAGGAAGTTCAAGGAGAGTCACATCTATGAATTTCTTTTGAGTTCAAATTTAGTTTTCAGTAAGACAATATGCACCACAGGGTTGATTTTTTAAAAAATCTATGTCTTTCCCAAGTAACACTTAAATAATATACACTTAGGGGCGCCTTGGTGGCTCAGTCAGTTGAGAATAGGACTCTTGATTTTGGTTCAGGTCATGATCCCCGGGTCCTGGGATCAAGCCCCATGTTGGCCTCTGCTGGTAGTGCAGAACTTGCTTGGGATTCTCCCTCTTCTCTCTCTCTGCTTCTCCCCTGCTCATTCTCACTGTCTCTCAAAATAAATAAATAAACTTAAAAATATATCTATTTAGAAGAATATAAATGATTGAACTCAAATGGATTCAACTGGTTACATGGCAATGATCTAGAAACCTGGCAAGTACTGCTTTAGTTGATTCTTCAGGCTACATGTTAGAGCTGGAATAGGAAGGTTGGGGGCATAGGCCTTAATGTGTCTCCTGCCTTATGCTGCTAGAGATACGTGCAACTAGAGTAGCTTTGTTGGTGTGTGTGTATATATATATCTACACACACACACACACACAAATATATATTGTATATATTTGTGTCATTTCACAGGAGAACCACAATACCCGCACACACACACATCCATGTGCATATACACACACTCACGATCCTATCTATATCAGTACCCCTGAGACCATTTCTTCTCCCTCTTCCTTTATGTTCCTCTTCACAAGAGGAAAGAAAAAAAAAGTCATGCAGTATAAAATAACAATTGTTAATCTCTTCTCAAATTTGGAATTAGTCCAGAAAATCCAAGAGGAAGTTCAACTCACCCACAGTCTAGCTGCAGAAACTACCCCATGTGACTTCCCCACCCCCACCACTACTGATCTCTTCATGTATTCTTTATAACGAACCCACTAAACTTTAATTAATATGAAAAATTCAGGTTTTCCTCTGATTTAAACATGACTGACATCATGCTGCTACTAAGAGTGAAACAAAGTATAGGCACGGTGAAAATATAGCTGAAACCTGGTGCCTGCCACAGTTCTATTTTCCTACTGCCAAGTCATGGCTAGCATTTCCATGATGCATGACTCCAAAAAGGCCAATGGGATTAAAAGTGAAGAAGAGCCCTTAGAAGGGAAAACGCACACATGCCTACATCCATCTGCCATTTGCCCCCCCCCCCCCCCGCCACACCTTTCTGCTCATATTCAGTGAATTGTTCAGAGTAGGCACAAATGTGTTCTTGGAGGGGAGCTGTGTGACACAGGCCACCTTCCTCTCAGACCCTAGCCACTAGCATTCTGCTTGCCTGGACCAGGCTGCTGCCATGTTCATGTATTCTGCTTCTGTGTATGGTGTATGATGTATGAGCCCTGAGGTCGCATAGCCCCTCTGTAGGGTTGCCTGTAATCCTACATCCCATTTCCTCCACAGAACCTAGTACGCTGACATAGCAATATACGAACATCTAAAACGCTGACTGCAAGAGCAACATTAACACATTTTTCACTTCAATAAAATACCCTGGGCTCTGCTTTTCAAAAACCTACAGTCATCTGTTAAAAAATGACTGACCCTCTCTCCCCTCCCCCACCATCACAGTGTGTGCGGTTGACCTCTTCCTGGCTATGCCTTCTCACAGGACTTTCAGGATCAGCAACTCTTGGCCAGAAACAAAAGCAGAATCCTCCCATTTCCCCCATGGATTTGAATGAAAACTGCTGATAAAACCAAGTACAACTGCAAAGGAGATGTTGGAGAAGAACCAAGGTGAGTCTATAGGGAATCCCACATATGATGGCTCACATATTTAAGCTGTGTCAAGGTCACTAACATCTTACCATATCGAACTGAAAAAGTCACCACTGTCTGGACAGTTAGGCATGTTTTCTAGGGAAAATAATAATTTTTTTTATACCTCTTTGCTAACAGGTTGGTTCAGTAATAAATATGTGAGATCTATTAGTTAAAAAAATATTTAAAATTAGAAATTTGTTCCAACTATGCCTATTGTCCTTGGCCAAATAGTTCTATACATACCCACCTTTATTTCCCAGTGCTGCAGATTAGGAATAGTACAGGTCATCTCTCACTGTATAAATGTGATTTTGGATCACCTGAATTCTTGGAGACTCTAATTAAAATTAAAAAATTCTGAGAGGATGAATCTCATCAAAAACCACCTGAAATTCTAGTCAGTTTATCTAAAATCGGAAGCATTCCAACTTATTTTGAATTCAGCATCAATTTTTTCTCTCTTTTGCCTGCAATCTCTGATAAGTAATCAAAGATACGTTTCTATACATGCACACACGTATACATATAACATGCATACAAGCGTATAAAACTTTAAAAATTCATAGTAAAACAAGTGGCATTGAAACAGTCTGATTTTAATATAAAATTATTTAAATATATATATACTTCCAGAGATGGTAATGAAAGAGAGCTGATGTCCATCTTTGCTATTGGTTAGCTGGGGTCTTGAATTAAAAAGGTTCAGAATTCTTCTTCCCATTTCTTAGATTTTTTTTGACATTCATTTTGGTACATCCTGTGGACATTTAAGTGTGTTTGATTTAACTCTGCATTTCTATCAAGATCTACAAGGTCTTGTATCAAGATTTACAAGAAAATGGGATGGTTTGGGAGGCTGGGGTTAGTAGACAATTCTGTCACAGTCTCTGGCATTTTTGCACATCTTACAAATAGAGGCACTATCTACTTTTGTTCTGGATTATCTATTAAGGATGTTTGTATGGTGAAAAGACTTGGAAAATACAGATGATATCTCTCTCCAGAGCAAAGGGCAGGCGTACTTACTGTCTAGTATAATAAAGTTAATGTCTCTCACTGGGGCAAATGTCAGGCAGGCTTATTGCCCATTATAAAAGATTCATGTTCTCTAAACTCAGGGTTTTTTTTCCCCTATAAAGCAATGCATTATGTGTGCAGTTCTTACCTGGCTTTTTTTGTGTTGCCTTATGGAGATTAGGAATCTGGGAACCAGCACAAGAAATGTTGATGTTCTGACTCTGCTATTACCATGAGTAGTAAATTTTCCTTTGTTTCTGAACCAGGAATCTTGTATCTTATGCCAGCATCTTTGAAACTGTGTCAGGCTAATTTATTCACTTCCAAGTGAAATCCCAGATCCTTTGCTGCTCTTGATAGCTGGGTATTTGGTGTAGTAGGAATGCCAAACCCCTATTTGTTATAGTACTATTCCTATGAATATCAGATAATAGGAATATTGCCTTCATACTGATATATCAATGAGCTTATGTTGTAGACCAGGGATTGGCAAACTGCTGCTCCCCTGTAGGCCAAATCCAGCTTTCCACCTTTCTGGACACAACCATGCATGTCCTTTCCATGTTGTCTATGGCTACTTTCACCTACAACAGCAGAGGTGAGGACTTGCAACACATGCTGTATGGCCTGCAAAGCCTAAAATATTTGTTATCTTGCTATTTAGAGAAAAAGTTTGCTGACATTTGTTATAAAGCAACCAAGGCAAAAATCCAGGCTATCATAAGTTGATTTAGAAATATTTGGAGTAGGGGCACCGGGGTGGCTCAGTCGGTTAAGTGTCCGACTTCAGCTCAGGTTATGATCTTGTGGTTCATGAGTTCGAGTCCCGCGTCAGGCTCTGTGCTGACAGCTCAGAGCCTGGAGTCTGCTTCGGATTCTGTGTCTCCCTCTCTCTCCCTCCCCTCCCCCACTCGTCCTCTGTCTCTCTCATTCAAAAATAAATAAACATTAAAAAATTAAAAAAAAAGAAATATTTGGAGTAGAGAGATGAAGATAAAATTGATATTAAATGATAGTATGGAAGGGAGCTTAACAGTTAACTGTAGATAAACCAATTGACTGTATATACTTCACTTCTACAATCTATTCAACAAATAGGTGAGCCATGACCACACATCCAAATCTTTTAAATCTCAGCTCATCCTCTCTCTCTGAAGCTGACCCTGATTCAGTATTAGAAAATTTATTTTTTCTCTTCAGAGCTCCCACAGCACTTCATCTAAACATCTTCTATAACCAATTAACTACCTTATGTAATATTTACATACACATGGTTTCTTAGGGTGAAATCCATATGTATAAACAGATTAAAAAACTTTTTTCCATCATCCAACTTTTGGGGTAATGATTCACCTCTTGGGACTTAGAAATTGATTTGAATAAACCCGTTTTTAAAAGTAAGAATCATTAAAATAGGATTTTTTTCTCCTGTAAGTCTAAATAGCAAATTACGCTCTTAAATTAAAAACTTAAATATGTGCTAACACCCTGTCTTTGTAGATTTCCTTTTGCAATTATACTTCTTAAAGTCTAATTGCATTTTCTTAGTTTGTTTCAACTCAATAAAGCAGGGGGCTTGTGATACAGAATAGAATCATTCCTATTGGCATGGGAAAGCATGTAGACATATCCATTCTTGAGAAGGTGGTGTTGGACAAAATACAGAAAGAGATGTTGCCCTGAGATTGCCATAGACATCTCTCAGAAATAGTGAAAAAAGGTGAGCCAATGACTTCATCATGATTTACTTGTTACACAGTCATGGTAGCAGGATTCAGGTAGGTATAAATGGAGTGCCATAAGACTGTTGGATCAAGGTACAGAAGCAGACTCTTAGAGAAGAAAGATTCATCCATGTGTCGGGGGTTATTGAGCCAAGTCACCAGGGGAAACAATTTACAGAGAAATAGCTGAACGCTCTACAAGAAACTTAGGATACACAATAATAATAGTGCTTGTTAACTGAGGGCTTGCTAAGAGCCAGGCTCTCCGTCAAGCAATTAATACGTATTACCTCATTTAACCATCACAAATACTTTATAAAGTAAGGCTAATTGTTATCCTCATTTTATAGATGAGAACAATGGCTTACACAGGTTATGTAATGCTTCAGGTCACACGAGGAGCAAGTGACAACAAGAGAAGTTCGATTCAAATACAAACCTTCTCACTTCAGAGCACTAACTTTTTTAGTAATTATATTCCACCATCTTCAGATGGGCAAAGCTGCTTCCCCATAGGCCCCATATGAAGGAAAGCTTTAATCATCCATAGCTCTACTGGAAAAAAAATCTCATGAAGATGGGGTGCTGAAATAAAGGTATTGATCTACAGAGTTTCAGGTATGATTTACTTCTGTAGCTCATTTAGTCCCCTGAGACATGCCCTTCTAGTCTCAGTTCAACCATCAGGGAGTGGCTGTTCCTGCTCCCCAACCAACTCCATTTGCCCATAATGCCATTGCATATATTCACGGTTCACATGTTCTCACTTCCAGCAATCTACTTCTGTGCTATTCACATTCACAGGCAGAGGATTCTATTCTGATAGTGGGCCACACCATTAACGTACTTAACACTTTAGAATAAGGACAGGCAGACTTTGATCTAAGCCTTTAAGATGGCACTAATAATAATTTTTCAGGCAAATCTCATTATTTCTTGATGCTCTCAGAATACTACAACTCTAAAGTAATTATGATATATACCGGCTGCTGGTCCAGAGCTCCAGGGTTTCTGACACACACAGGAACTTCTTCAGAGAAACCAGCGTCTTGAAGGAGGACAAAGGCATGGTGGCAGGAGAGTTCTCAGCAACTGGCACTCAACCCGGTTTTATCTTTTCATTTTGAGTCATTTAGTTTCACTCTGACTTTACAAAAATCAAATGGAAAGAAAAGTACAACTTTTATAGCCACCAGCATAGGAAGGTGAGAAAGTTTGAGTGAACAGGGAGACAACTTAAAGTAGAAATTCAAGAACAGTGAGGAAGTAGGCCTTTCATGTGGCGCAGAAATTAGAGTTTAAGGTGGAGTGAACTTGTCAAGTCGTACGGGTTTGCACAGACACAGACCTAGGAATAATCAGACGCTATAGCAGGTCACACTGATTACTGCCACAACTCAGAATACACACACACACACACACACACACACACACACACACACACACCCATAGGCTGAAACTTGATTTTTGACATTGGCAGTCAACAGGAGCCATGAGCTTCATCAAGAACAACTGCAAAGCTGAGGGTGTGTTTCTTCTTATCCTCTAGTGACAGGGTTTGTTTCGGATTTCTTAGCTAATCCCTACCAGCCCCCACTTCCAACAGAGTTAAAACTAGTTTCAAGGGGAGGGCAAAAGGGATATGCATATTTGACAAGGCTTTTAGCATTTTATGTTTAGATAAACATTGTGGTGTCCATGGGAAATCAGTGATTGTATTTATTTCCGACAACCGTAACTAAAAAAGTACCAGTATTTAAGGTTCAGGACTAATCTTTCTTTTTTTGCATACACCCCCTACTTTTAAAAATATCTGTGACAGTCACTGGTATATCATAGGAGCTCCCTAAATACTCATTACATTGAGTCACTAGCATGGTCTTTATAGGCTATACAGATTGATGCAGCTATGGTAATAAATATTCATAAACCTATGGGCAGGGTAAAATTATTCTGATTTCTCCTATATCTTTCTGTACAATGGCTGTAAGATAAACTCAGTTAAATGTATTTTTGTTACTTTCACATGGTGTGTGTACCCCACTAGGAATGTCAGCTGAAACGGATGTCAGCTCTGACCATGAAATTGTCACAGGGTTGATGCCAATTCTCTTCTGAAGACTAACTTGTGGAACCATACACGTTGTTGGGAGGTTGGCATAATTTGTTGGCTAATAGAACCATTTATGTCCCACACCAGATATCACCTTTCTCCTGAAACAGCTCTCCCTG